GAAAGGTGTGCAGCGACTGGTGACCAGTGGTCGTTTGGTCACCAGCACCAAACCGCTTTCTTGAACATTCCCGTTTCAATAATAAATATCTTTCGTGAAGCAGGGATCAGTGGAGTGTCAAACTCAGAGAGGTACAAAGTTCCAGGGTCGGTTGAGTTAGCCGTCTTTCGCTCTTTTGAGGTAGTGAGATGCTGAGCACCATTTTGTGAGAAAGTCAACATCCGGTTGTAGACTGTTCTTGCCATATAGCTGTAACGTCTATTGGCTGATGACATAAAAGAGGAGCTCAATGACACGCCGTAATCTCAATGAGGAAATACTACATCCCAGCCGTTTCGTACTTGCCAGTTTCCGTTGTATTCAAAAAATGCATTTTTAACAGGGTTACTGAAAAGCGGCACTTATAAGTGATCACGTGTCGAGGAATATAGCGTAAGCAAAAAAATAACTACTTCTGCAGAAAGCCATTAACTAGACCGACGCCACTTAACGCAACAAGAAAGAGCAATGAGACAACAAAGTCGTACGCAGTACTCGCTGATTTAATGGTTAGAATGAATAATTTACGCTTCACTCATTGGAACGACACCGACCTGCACTTGATGTTCAATCATGGGCTCAAATTCTTGAAAATAACACAACATAAATAAGGCATAGTTCTCTGAAAATGGATTTACTACTATGCAAAACGTCGGAATTTCGTTAATACAATTTATTTGTACAGTAAACCCTTTGAACATTTTAACGATGAATAACATTATAAATATTACATAATGTTTATCCAGCTATCGAAAGCAGATGATTTTCATATTGTCACGTACCACCTCGTATCTGTGACATGTCTATCTACGTTTCAAGCTAAAAACTCCTTAATCTTACAATAATTTCTTTCTACACGGAAAGCCAAGTAAATATTAAAGCTGAGACTTCTTGTCATTATAATGCCGTGATATGCAAAATAATAAACGAATGACGCTGAAACGTCTGCTTTTTATTACAACTTCGCCCTTTGCCATGAAAGTGCTAAACTTAGCAAGTTAGCATAGCAGTTTCGCCCATGGTTTCAGCCACAACACCTGACTGTTCACTCTGCGGAAAGATAAGCTTTAATATCAATTCCGTCTTTTCCACAGGAGAATTATGAACCATACTTTGACGTCACAACTCATGATAACATTTTGAGTCCTTTGCCGTGAACCTGGTAGCAATGAAGGCTCGTCGTCCAAATCATGGGACATGAAAACTGTGTCATGGTTTATACATCCTATGATGTATTTCCCTTAAGATGCAAGAATCTTGGATCCTCATCGAAACTGAACAGTAGTAGCACCCTCATCATTTTGCAACGATGGCGGACTCGATCCCTGATTAGCTCTTTCGTTTTTCATCCTTGTCATATAAGCAACTGAATACCACTTCGCGAGAAGAATTCAGTCGACCGAATACAGTAGGAGTCACTAAACTATGGTTATAACTTTAAACACAGCATCATCAGCAGACAGGCCTGACTGATGACATAGAAACGCCGCACTGAAAGTTCAATATTGGTACAAATGGAGCCAAATTGTCAACGTGCAAGGGAGCCTGACACCCAGTAGCAAAAGGCTCTCTTTTATAATTCGTGCTGAGTTGTTTAAAACTGAACTAAACAATAATAAATGCACAGCCATATCAATAAATTATTGATGAAAATTCACTTAAAGCTAACGTTTAGTTATTCAAGACAACGAGTACCAAGGAAGTAGTGCGACACTCCGTAAAATCTAGTCATTGAGGAGTTATGCGTTGTCTGACCTACTGCAGCATACGAACATACTTTTATGTTTATGTTGTAGCGTGTGAGTACCAGCTACTTCTGCAACATCATTCATAATGAGGGAAAGGTGGCTCTGACGAACAAAGGTGCTCAAGTATCATGAAGCCATGACCAGCTTAAATGTACCCGGTGTCAAATGGTAATGTTGGGAGGGGGTGCAATATCATCTGAACTTGGTAAAAGAGTAAAATCTACTTGGTAAAATGCTGCTTCTTTACTACCCCTCTGTAAAATATGCTTTTTCCTGCAAACCGTTGTAATGTCATTTACAGAAGTTACTGAACTGTGACACAACAGCTTCTTTTTTGGGCACTAAGCTATCACTACCATCCTAGAAAACCGCACAGGTGCTGTTTTGGCATCTTGCTCTGCCATCCTTACAGTAACCAATGAGGAAACACTAGGCGTCACGAAAATTTCTCTCAGGAAAATGTTCCATGTCCCCATTGAATAACGGATCATTTATCAGACCATGGCTCACTTCAAAGTCAAAGTAACCAAGTAACCATTTTCCTGCACTTCGACTTTGTTCGGTTGAGCTTGAATACTGTGGACTAAAACAACGAACAGTTGATCTTCAGGCAGTCTGCTTTTGCGCCACCATCGTTAAGAGGCAGAAGTTTCTGAAGCAGGCTTTCGCCAGCCAGGGACGAAGATAACGAAGACATTTGGTCCAATCCCAATTATAGCGGCAAAGGTACGTCGAAGAACCAAAAGATGGTCAGCGGACGAGGCTAACGCATAATAGATTTCTACGTGCCTTTACACCAAGTTTGCTTTTGAACAAAACACGTTGATTATGAAGCTAGTTGCAAGCATGGCGGCTTTCGTTCTCTACTAGCTTAAGCTGCATGTAAAACCCCTTTCTTTGCACAACTGATCCACCATTAAAGATCCATAACAATTAACATTTGACTGAAGGAGATATCCAAACGACAGTGGATGCACGAATGACATTGGATAATGAAATACCAGTTGGAAATTGCAAAACGTTTGCATATCATCGTCACGTGGGAGCAACAGACCGTGTTCCTTATGGGGAATTTGATATTTCTTAACCAGCCTTTTGATACACGCCGCTGATTCACTTCATTCGCAATGCATAATCCCATTTAGTCAATACACAAATAACCGTGAGGTCATCTCGTACTACCGCTCAGGTTATAAACGTATGTACGAATGACATGAATTTTATGCAATAAGTCGATAAGCCAAGACAGCATAGACTCTTTTACAATATTTCAATGCCCCAATTCCCTCCCAAAGCTTCAAGCCGTTTAAAAATTTCATATTGAATTTTCGCATTAGAGTAACTTTAGTTTATGGCGATAATCAGAACAGCGATGATACTGAAAGGCCAATCGAGGGGCAAACTGTGTGATTGTGTAAATAATGGTATTTCGTCATGTACGATGCACACGATAATGAAAATCTGTAAAGTCAATAAAATTAAAGTGAATATAATTCAAGTTTACCGTATAGTAAATATAATAAATTAGCCTCATATAGACTTAAGTTCCCACTCAGCCAACGGAGCAGTCTCGAACAAAGCTTTATGAAAATTATCAGTGAGTCGAACTGATACAGAAAATGTCATAATGGAACAATGTGGTGACTTATGAAGGCTTGTGCACCGAAAAACGAGCCATTTATTGATTTTTGAACGGTGCACTAGTCATTGCCAAATAATATGTTATAAGCCAATGTTTGCTGAATTGCCTACCAACTAAACTGAAGTGTTCAATCCGCCCATGGTTTGAATGTGCGTACGGCAGACGTCTGAAATGTGTGATCCAAATGCACTCTTCATACCCATGAAACGCTCTATTCAGCCGCTCGCCGCTTTCGTATGCGAATGTAGCAATGCCCGACAATCTCTCCAACGTTCCTCATTCCGTACCAACGTGTGAACATCGGCAAAACACAACATGAGACCAGAGCGACGTCCGTCGAGCCACTTGCCAGAGGTCATTCTTGGTGTCCCGGGGCCTTAGGCAAGTATGTGCAAAAGAGTAGGTACTTCGTACTCCTCTCCTTTTTGGAAGTGCTCAAACCATGGCAGCTACGATCAGCCAATTTTGGGACACAACTATTGTACAGAATAACTGTCTGAACTCAGATGTCTACACGACGGTCTCTGTCGAGACGCATCAGACCATCGACCATCGTTTCTTCTCAGGAATTTCAGTTCAGCTGCTTGCATCCATTAGCGTAATATTTCAGCATGGTCAAAAATTAATGACCACAGGTGAGCACGGGGACGAAAGTCGACTTGGATACAGGGAGCTCTATCTTCAGCCTCAGCTTTGCCTTCGTGGCAACGGTTTGGTGTCGTTCGTGCAGAACGCCATTAGCGATCCCGATTCTCCGGGATCTCCCTCTTCCTTCCACTTTCTATTACCAGTAAGTACGTACGACGCCAGGGCACTTGTATTTTTCCACATTTACTCATTTTGCCTACAGCGCAGGGGGCACAGTACCAAGAAACGACAAGTCTTGATTTTAGGCACGTCACGCATGTCTGTCATATGTCGCAGTCTGTTGCAAACGTTTCAAAAGACTGCCGGAGATCAGTTTCAGAAGGTACCAACAAAACACGTCGTCTGCAAACAGCAATCTTCTCTCCTCGGTATATGCTACTCTGGTACTCATGGCTCTGGCGTGGCCTGACCATCACACCTATGTAGACCATTACCAACGCTGTAAAATTGGCTTAATGCCATCTACGTCAATGCAACAGTTGCTTTCAACGTATAGTGATTGAATGCCTCGTATGAAGTATCCATAAACTTCACGCTTCTGCAGGCACTGCTACAGCTGCCCAAAATACCACTATTTCATACTAATATGCTGATAAGTATATCACCTCCATGACACTGAAACGTCTCTTTGCCATGAGGTTCAGAATGGGCATTAATGCAGGCTATGATTCCACGGTATTTGAATATTAGCAGTAGTAGATGTTATCATCATATCGGTTAGTGGATATTACGAGGTGGTTAATGTCAATGAATATTAAGTACCCCGAACACATTACATTCGCTTGAATACTACACGGTCTCCTCTGTTGTATGCCACACACAATTAGCATGCGAATATTAGAGAGAATAGCATGGCACACCTGTGATAATCATTATTAATTATCGTTATGGCGTGAGTTCAAGACTCCAAATTACTTCGTAAACTACTGGTCGCACATCAAGCTCATCACCTCGTGGTTCTGGTTGGCATTCGATCGCTCGACAGTGGCTAGCCTCTGCCGCGAAGCGACGCGACGCGTGACGATCAGTCGTTCGGGCGAAACATATTTTAAGTCGCTGCCGCGCAGGGACGCGTGGCAAATTACCCAAAGCCTTGTTCGGACGCTGAGGCAAGATCACAGCAGATAAATAGTCAACTGCCAACGGCGCACTCCCTCACTGTCAAATGCAATTAAGGAACGGCTTTTGGAGCAATTTTCCATACGCTACGCTTTCAGACTAATTGACGCGAACGAGGATAATTTCCGTAATGAATGGGATTAAGAAAATCGAGCTGCTTTACAGCTCTGCGCCTTTATCCTAATGTTTGCCATTAAATGCGATTAGCCAACAGCAACATCAGAAATCATCATTATCATTAATGGTACGGTATTTTCGCGTCAAATATTAGTCAACCGGCCGCAGGCTTTCCATTCCATTAAGATTTGCGCTTTACAAAACGCAATGATGAAGTGATGAAGTGCGCAAGAATTTGGCGTACGACCAATTCGGCATACCTGCGTCTCAAACGTTACACCGACCGACTGAGCTATT